TATTTATTTATTTTATTTTTCTCGTTCACATAAGAAAATATCAAATTGCCAATTGGAGAAATTATTTAAATTTAATTGTATTTTTTTGTTATTAGTGGATGAATATGAACGTAGAAAAATACGAGCTAACATTTTTAAATTTATCAAAAAATTCTTTTAGATTTTTTATTAAAATAACATATCTAAACGAAAAATAACATTATTATTTTTGTTAAAATTGAATACATCGAATATATCATAATCATAAATTTATTAAAAAAAAATAATTAATTAATTAATTTTAGTTATTGAAAATAAAAAAATCAAACTGCTCTTTAGACTCTTTTGCTGATACTTTTCAGTTCATTTAGGGTCTGTTTGGGGCAGTTGGTTGTAGTTTATTGAATAATTTGCTGATAAGCTAGGTGTGGTGACTATTACAAATTTATATATTTTTGGAAAAGTCAGACCGTTGTCAATAAGCTGTCACCGCACATAGATAGATGCGGTGTGAAAATGCTATTTTCCGTATTTTGAAAACACATAAGCTGTCAAAATGCAGTATAAGCTGTCAAAATGCAGTTTACCCAAACAGGTCAGGTGCGTTTTCAAAAAGAAAATAAGCAAAATAAGTTGCCCAAACGGACCCTTAATGGTCCAAATTAAATTTATACATGTAATATATGATTAAAAAAGCTATAAACTTTTTGTATATCTTGAACATAATTTCATGATTTATTTATATACATACCACTCAAAACTTTATATTATATATTTACTTCTAACATTTTAAAAGTGAAATTCATATTTTTTGTGCATAAAAAAAGATGGTATATATGTAAAATTCGGAGTTCATGTGTTAGATATGCAAATATATAGGAATTGAGTGATATGTATGTAATTATAATTTCTCAAATGACTGACTATATGTACTCATTAGTGATTTGATAACAATGAATCTTGTAAAATTTGTGTAATAGTTTGCTAAATATTTGTTTTCTACATATTAACTATTTTCATGTAAACATGAAAATGAAGAATATTTAATGTTATTTTTGAGAAATTCTTACTTAAAGATAAGTTTGAAGGTACATTTCATGGAGGCCCAAGTGAAGATGAGCTTAAGTTCCATAATTCTATCATTATTATTTTTTAATTTAATGATATCATGCATAATTATGCAAATTTTGAGTAATTAATTTACAATAGTAACAACAACAAAGCCTTAATCCTGCTACGTGGGGTCGGCTACATGAATCGTTTTTCTCCATGTCGTCCTATTTAGTGTCGTATTTTCATTTAGTTCTATTTCATTTAGTTCTAATGAATTAAGATCAGTTTTTATGCAGTAAGCTCAAGTCTTCCTAGGTCTACCTATGGCTTTCTTAACATAAGTCGAATCTAAAACATCTACTCTCCTAATCAGATTATTTGATGGTCGACGTTTAATGTGACCAAACCGTCTAAGACGACTCTCTCTAATTTTGTTCGTCGCTTGAGCTACACCATTCACAGATATATTCATTTCGCATTTTTTCGTTAAGTGTAAGTATTATGCTTCTCTTTTAAAGGCGAACATTCAACACCATATAGCATTGCAAGTCTCACCACCATCTTATAAAATTTTCCTTTTAGTCTAAACGTTATTTTTCTATCACACAAAAGGTTTGAAGCATTCCTCCACTTCAATCGACCAACTTGAATTCCACTATTAAAATCTCCATCTATATCACCATTGCTTTGAACAATAGACCTGAGATATCTAAATCATTCACACCTTTTAAATTTGTTAAGTAATTAGGGTGAAGAAAAACTACAATAGACACAAATCCAGAAGAACACACAGAGATTTAATGAGGTTCGGCAAAGATGCTTACGTTCTCATGAGCAGAGCGGCGGCTTTTCCACTAATCTAGAAAAAGAGTACAGAATATAGAATTAGGATAATACCTAGGGTTATATACAGACCTATTTATAACCCTAGAAAGAACAGTAAATGAAATCTTGGGTACAATATGTAATTACCAAATTACTCATGTACCACACCCCAACCCACATAAGGAAACTCATCTGATTTGAACAGAATCTTTCGCACTGCTCCGCTCCGTTCCAGCATATGTCCCTTTATGGTATATGAGTCATATCTAACAAATCTTCACCTTAGCGAATATCCAGCCCCTCAGGAGAAATACGTCATGAAGTTTCTTACATACCAGAAGTGGGTTAGGCCATCATGCTTCTCTAACAACTGCAAACATTCAACAAGTCCAAGCAATGCAAGAACTTGTTGATAGTAACTGGTTTGGTCAACATATCAGCTGCATTTTCATCAATATGAACCTTCTGCAATAGTATCTCACCAGAAGCAATCAATTCTCTGATCTTGTGATACATGACATCAATGTGCTTGGTTCTCGCATGATACACCTGGTTCTTAGCCAGATAAATAGCACTCTGGCTGTCACAATGCAACTGAACTCCACTTTGTTTAATGCTCAGTTCCTTTACTAGCACAGTGTTGTCATGTACTCAGCTTTAGTTGTAGATAATGCCACAATAGACTGAATTTTTGATTTCCAACATATAGACCCTCCACCAGGAGTAAACACATACCCAGTTGTAGACCTTCTGTCATAATAGACCCTCCACCAGGAGTAAACACATACCAGTTGTAGACCTTCTGTCATCCAAATCACCTGCATTATCTGAATCAACGTACCCCACAACTGAAGGATCATTCTGCTGACTGCCAAAAATAATTCCATGTTCTACAGTACCCTTCAGATACATGAAAATCCACTTGACTGCTTCCTAATGCCACCTTTCAGGTTTAGCCATGTATTTGCAAACTTGACTAACAGCATGGGCCAAATCAGGACAAGTACATATCATTGCATACATCAAGCAGCCATCTGCACTGGCATATGGAACCTTAAGGAACCTTTGTCATGTCTTCGATTTCTGTATCTTTCTTAGGACACTGTTCTACAGAAAGCTTAAAATGGTTTGTTAAATGAGTGCTTACAAGCTTTGCTTTGCTCATCTCAAGCATGTCTAACACTTTCTCAACATAGCCTCGTTGAGATAAACATAATCGTCTTGAGCCTCAATCTCGATGAATCTTCATTCCAAGAATCTTCTTCGTAGGACCATAAATGAGACAGATGTTGGAGTAGAGCGGAGCCCACGAGCGGAGTGGAGCGGAAGGATCTGTCCAATCGGGGGAGTTTCATTATGTGGGTTGGGGGTGCTGGGGCAAGACCCTGCGGTTTGGTACATGAGTAATTTAAGTAATTACATATTGTATTATAGTGTTATATATATGTCATGTTTGTAATCCTGGGTAAGCCCTTGAGAGCTGAATCTTGTATTTTGTAACTTTTTTTAATATTGAAAAGAAAGTCGCCGCTCTGGTCCCGAGGATGTAGATATCTTTGTTGAACCTCATAAATCTATGTGTGTTCTTCTGGATTTGTGTTGATTCCTATTTTCTTTGCCCTAATTTCTCAACAAGTGGTATCAGAGCGAAGTTCTAGGGCAGGGAAGAAAATTTTGGGCAGCGCAAGAATAAAGATGATTTTGACAGAGGAGTTCATTTCAGGGCTTCAACGATTCAGTGAAGAATTTTAGCGGTTCGCGACAGATTGTTGGAGCAGACAACTAGGAGTTCGCGAAGAGCTTGAATCCCACAAGAGGACCAGTTTGCGAAGGCAAAGCCGAAGGCGTTCGCGGGAGGTTGGTGGACCGAGGCGCGAAGGATTGTTCGCGGGAGGCTGTTGCCAACACATGAGTTTGTGAAGATGAAGTCGAAGGCGGTTCGCTGCAGGTTGTTCGCCCGAGGAGAATCAAGGAATCTTTCATCCCATATCCCTCTAAAACATGGGAGGAGCTCGCTACACGTGGGAATTCGAGGGAGGAGTTTAGCGTGGGAGTTCTGCGCCGACTCAAGCATTCACATGGGAGGTGTTTGCGGGATTCGGTTTGGAGGGAGAGGTAGTTGAGCAGAATTGGAAGGGAGGACGCAGAAAAGAAAAATCTGTGTAGAAGGAAATTTAGCGCGGAGATATTCCGAAGATATTCCAAGACTCAGGAAAGACAAGGAAAGGGAATATGTTGCTGCACTCGGGAAAGAAAAAATTTCTTTTTGGAAGGAAAGCGGAGGCGGAGCTTTTCTGTAAGGAAAACAAAAATGGAGCTTTTCTGAGAAGGAAAGCAGAGTTTTTTCTAGAAGGAAAAAAGTACTTTTCTGAAAAGCGGAGGCGAAGCTTTTCTTGGAAATTTAAGCAAAATGACTTATGGGAAAGTTTAATTAAGAAAAAATTAATTAAGGAAATTTTTTTTTTCAGAAAAATTTAATTAAGGGAATATTTCAATCATTTTTCAGAAAGAAACTCTGTTGCTTTTCTGAGAAACTTAATTAAGGGAAACTTAATTAAGGGAATCTTAATTAAAGGAATATTTAAAAAGATTTATGGCTCAACCCACTTTAGTGCATAAGAAACTTCATGATGTATTTTCTCTTAAAGGGCTGGATATTCGCCAAGGTGAAGATTTGTGAAGCATATGTATTTTCTTCTAAGGGGTTGGATATTCGCCAAGGTAGAGATTTTTCAGGCATATGTATTTCTCCTAATAGGCTAGATATTCACCAAGGTGGAGATTTGTTAGGTATGGCTCATATACCATAAATGCGACAGATGCTGGAGCGGAGCTGAGCCCACGAGCAGAGTGGAGCGGAAGGATTTATCAAATCAGGGGAGTTTCATTATGTGGGTTGGGGGTGCGGGGGCAACCCTCTGTTGTTTGGTACATGGGTAATTTAAGTAATTACATATTGTACTATAGGGTTATATATATGTCATGTTTGTACCCCTAGGTGAGTCTCTGAGATCCTGAGAGCTGAATCTTGTATTTT